GTTTGAGGCAGTCAATACAAAACTCGGAGAGTATTACCGATGCACATGAGATAGGAAGCAGCCTGATCAATTTCAAGAGTTTGTCCTAACTCATGTGTCCTTGCGCAAGGTTTGCTAGAAAAAAATCTAGGCTTGTGCAATTAGAGATAGGAACTAAGGAAGTTAATTTCAAGTTCTTTTCCTAACTCATGTAGTCTGCTCTATCATGGCGTTCCCTGCTTTTGAATTTCGCATGATGCGTGACTTGATGCTCTTTGTGGATGTTAGGAAAAAACATGAGATAGGACCTAGAGGCGTACGTGACTCCTATCACATCCCTGCTGGAACCATTAAAAAAATACAACTTGAGCCTCGGCAGCACAAGAGTTAGGAGCCCGCCCCAGGGATAACCCAACTGTCTGGAACAGCTAAATCCTAACTCACCAGGACCTAGTATAAATAAATCTCTATAATCTAATATAATACAATATGCAATAATATAATATATATATATAATAGATAAGATAAACATATAATAAATATAACCTATATCTATATCTAGATGTGTATATATATATATTTAACAATAGCATATATCAGAATATATTATAATATAATGTAATATAATATAATATAATATGATATGATATAATATAATCTAATATGATATATAGTTTTTTTTAAAACAAAACTAAAAATAGTATAGTATCACACATTTAAAAAAATAACGTATAATATAGTACAATACAATATAGTATAGTATAATATATATAATAAAAAACATAATAATATAATATAATATAATATAGATCAACATAGTATTATATAACATAACATAGTATAGTACAATACGTATAATATAATTTGATATAATATAATATAATGTAATGTAATGTGATATAATATAATATATATAATATAGTCAAACATAATAAAATATAACACAATATGTAATATAGTCTAAAGTTTATATAATATAATCTAAAATAATATAACATAGATAGATAGATAGATAGATAGATAAATTCAGTGAAAGAGCGGCTGGCAATGACTGTAAAACATGTTTGTAAAATTTGTGTACACTGTCAAAGACCTCCACCTCATTGCACCAGGCGTGGTTGGCAGAAGCAGTGCTTTGGACTATGTGGTGGCATAGAGGTGAGTTCAAGGCAGCTTGTCAGCATAAACTGCAGCCATAGAGCAGATGTTCCAACAGAAGTGACTGTTGGGTTTCAGTCTCTGGGTTTGGGAGTGGTTCCTGGTTTGTTTGAAAACCAGAACAGAACCGGAAATGTGGAAATTTGGAACCCTGGAACTTGCTGTTGGTTCGCAAAACTGAGTCGACTTGGTGTCACACAGTGGAGATGTTTCTAGCTGCAGTGACGATTGCAGGCCATCGCTCCATCGGAATTGGCTGTCATCAAGCCGGGTCCCTTCGCAGAGGCCTGGACTCAGAGACCCCTCCGGAATTTTCGTTTGATTGCGGCTGCATTTCTCCGTTGTTTATTTGCAGCTAAAGCTACTGTGGATGCTTTCTCTTCCATGAACAGTCGTAAGTGTCGTAATCCACAGAGTTTCTTTTGTGCGTTGAGGTGATGAAGGTGCACCCCAGACCATGGAACTTTTGCATAAACTACGCAGAACACTTTGTGAAGTCTCCCGGCCAAGAAGTTTATGGATACGTACTGGGCAGAATTGCAGAGCGTCCAGACAAACTCCGAACTGGCACCGTACTGTGAGGTACTTGAATAGAAAAACTCACAAGACACTGACCGATGCCATTCTGACTTGTATTTGGCACCTGTATGTGGCAGTGTTTCCATGCACTTGTCGCAGACAAGCGTTTAATCAATGTCTGGATATGAGCTTTGTTTATCAAACATTTTGGGACAGTGAAGACATGGGCCACGGGGATGACATGGGCCAGGTCATCATGAACAGTGACTACTTCGGAAGCACAAAGATCGCAAGCTGTGATAAGGACTTTGATGCCTCCACCTCAATTTTATGTCAGCGCCGTTGTGACATCGCAGCTGTGACATCGACATCCACACTTGAAACTGTCCATTCTGCTCTCAGGTCGACATGACAATCAGGCCGTCACAGGCAAACTTGCCACTTGACTCACTTGACTCACTTGACTCACTTGATCCACTTGATCTTAATTTCTGAACCCCATATATACTGAAATCATTTGAAATCTAACTGAATCACTTTGGAATATCAGCTGTAACCAGTTTATCTTGCACATTTTGCTGTCCTCTCCACAAGGTTTTTTTGGTTTGTCTAATCCACAATCCAAAAGCGTTGCAAGTTGGAAGAACTCAGTATCTAAGCATACTTGAGGTCTGGCGCAGCTATCTTGATGTCAGACGATCTGCTTCAAGACGATGTCTCGGAAGAGGTGGTTCCACATGAGCGACAATCCACGGGAGAGTCAGAGGAATACCTCAGAGAGCCCTCTGCAGAGCAGTCCTCGTGTCGTCCGGAGAAGGCTTGGTGCAAACAAAGTTTGCGGATTCTGAGGAACATGGAAATAATTACGTGAAACGCATACCAAATTATATATACGTATTATATATATATTTTTAAACAGCCTTGGCAGGACACTTATTTGACGCTCTGAGCCCTCAGTTGTGATTGGAGGACTCTAAACAGCACTTTGTTATGCAGCAAACGTGATCAGCTTGCAGCACCAGACACTGCCTTGGCAGGACATTTGAAAAGTGCGGAGCAGATCTTGGACTTTGGTGCCATCTGAGCCCCACCTGTCGTTCAGCTCCTGTATGAATTCAATGTCTGTAGCTGTTTGTGACAGGTCTACTGGTACTGTGCATTAAAATCATTTGATACTATTTAGCATTTCTTTTGAGCTTTGCGTTCCTCGTCTTCATCAGTTCTATTTGGCTCGAAATGCAAACGATCGAACGTTTCACAATGTTTGCCAAACTTTGGGCGGCTATAAAATGGCAGTCCCAAAGTTTCACCTCGACAAGAGAAACCCAGAAAAGTGAAGCGTGTTCTGGTCCTTAGGCTTCCAATTCGCGATGCTAGTCTTTGAAAGTGCTTCTGCTTGGAATTTGCTTCACACTTCTGGAGATGCAGTGAAGCTGTGCTGATGAAGCAGCACTCCTTCATCCTGCGTCAAATTAAAGAAATGCACCCCAGCATTGCGTGATTCGCTCCAGTAGCGGCTTTGAAATCGAAAAAAGAAGTCTCAGACAGGGACGTGGCCCAACCCGTGCTATCCGGCTATCCGTGCTACTGTACTCTTTTTGGGAGCGTTTTGCACCTCAACTGTGACATGCTTTTCCTCGAAGCTTTGAAGTGGGTTGAACGAATGATCCTAGCCGACCAACAACAACAGTACGTAAGCAAGCTTTTCAGTCCTTGATAAAGTACTTGTCAGAATTAGTCGTCTTCTAAATTGAACATGTATGGAGGATCAATGACTGACTTGCTCTCTTCTCGTAGCTTGAGCTGTCCAAATCCAATTTGTTTCAACAACTTGATGTACAAAGGCATCCAAAGGCTGCAAAAGTGGAAACAGCACAGATTCTGCAAATCATTTTTGAATCAGAGCAATCAGAGAATCAGAGGAAGTTCTTCGTTCTGGCAAGGAGAAAGGATGTCAGCGCCACTGCACCTCGGTAATCCTTTTTGATATCTGGATATATTTGGTTTGGACTGGAACATGGCGCCATCTCCAGCGGAGGTGCAGATTGCATCGTCTTGCATCAAGCATTTTTGTCTCGTTCCGGGACATTTCGGGACCGCGCCAGACCTGTTGCCTTTCGTGCACACTGCTACAGGGAGCTGTGCACTTAGGGTCTTATGGGTCCCAAATTTGTGTTCCCGCTTGGGTGAGATTGTGCTATCCCAGGTCCAGGTAATATCGACATACACAGTCGTCTCTTGGCTTACAAATGCTGTGCTCAAGTAGTGTGTCACCAGAACCCTGCAATCGAAGAAGTTCTGACTTCTCCGCTCGAAGAGAAATGGTTTCATCCTGCGCCCAGGTTTCGGGAAGCATCAACATGCTTGGCCTTCTCATGAATGGGTGCTCCCTCCTTGATCAATGTTTGTCTGTCGCTTTGAGCAGATGCAGAGTGTTTTCGTTCGATGTTGGATACAATAAATGCCGTTTTGATCCGTTTTGACAGATGCGATGGCTTCCCAACATACTGATAATATACTATAAGTAAATCTAAGTAATATACTAGTCACCTTCAAAGCTCGGGCTTGCAATCGTCACGACTTTAAGCTTCAGAATGGTGAAGCCAGAGCTTGCAGGCAAGGGAAACCTGTGAATTCATCACGCTGGGCATGAGACAGGCCCAGAAGTGTCCCCTCCCACTCCGTCATCCTTGCGACGGTGGAGTTTTTAAATATGCCGAATGCTTGGAATGGGAGAGCTTTCCCAGCAAAGAGTTGCAGTTGCAGCTGAAGATTATTCAGAAGTATTCGGAAGCTCGTGAGGTGAAGACGGAATGCGACATTGTAGTTGTCTACAGATAATTGTGATAATGCTACAGTCGGAACAGGAAGCTTCAGTGCCATGCCACCCCAATTCAAACAGGAAAGTGCTGTGCATTGCAACATAATTACTTTGGTTGTGAATTTGTAAATGTTCAGCCCAGGATGCTGCATACTTTCGCACTCTTCGCTGGCTTTAAGGGCCTCATTGGAGTTCTACTGAAAGATGTGGTGCCGGCCCCACGTGTTGTTTCATCAGTTTAATCATGGACGGTCAGTGTTGTGGGATTTTTGTACTTTCTGCATTCCTGAAGAGTTCCGTGAAATGCCGCAAAACTGTTTTGCGATCTTGGTTCAAGCGCACGAAAACTCAGAAGTAACCTTGCTCCCCCGTGCAACTCTAGCAGATGGGCACATCATGTTCTTCTGGCATACGCAAAGCGATAATGGGCGGTGGCTCACACAAGGTGTGTGTATGCGGAGCCGCGGGTGGAATTGGACAGCCCTTGTGCTTGTTGATGGCCATGGAACCCAACGTCAAGGAACTGGCTATTTTTGATGTGAACGTGGCTATGGTACCTGCGGATGGTGTTGCAGAGGACTTGGGCCACATAGAGAGCAAGGTGAAAGTGACAGGATATTCCTTGGGAGTTGACCAACCTCCCAAGGTGCACCTGAACGAGTGCCTCTCAGGTTGCAGTTTAGTGCTTGTTGCGGCTGGCATGCCGCGAAAGCCTGGGATGACACGGGATCATCTCTTCAAGGTCAATGCTGATATTGCCAAAGGCATCGTAGAAGCCTGCGCAAAGTTTTGCCCGCAGGCGGTTGTAGCATTGATTGTAAATCCTATCAATTCCATTGTTCCAGCAATGGCGGAGCTCTACAAGAAAGCAGGGCTAGATCCAAAGAAGATCGTTGGAGTCACAACTTTGGACTGCGTCAGGGCCAACAAATTTGTATCTGACATTGTGGGTTGTCATCCCAGCAATGTGGAAGTCCCAGTGATTGGAGGCCATGATGGCATTACTATCATGCCAGTCTTCTCACAGGAACCTATGGCAGCAAGGATTGACCAATCTGCCTTAGAGGCCCTGGATAAGAAGACTCAGGATGCTGGCACTGACGTGGTGAACAAAAAAAATGGCAAAGGATCAGCGACTTTGTCCATGGCCTATGCAGCTGCACGTTTTGGAAGAGCTGTGCTCTCCGGAATGTCGGGCAAACCTGCTGTCGAGTGTGCCTATGTCAAGTCTGAGGTCACTGACCTGCCGTATTTTGCTTCTCGGGTTGAGTTTGGCAGAGGCGGTGTTTCTAAGGTTCTACACTATGGAAGTCTTAACAACTATGATCCTTGGGATGATGAGCAATTTTTCACATATTTTGATAGTCAATTTTTGTAATCCAGAACTCTTGAAAGTTTGTGCTTCCTCGAAGATGGGCCCCAACATTTTGCTCGTTGGAATATGTTGGAATGATTTCACATGTTTTCAATCTACGCTTCCATCGTTTCCCTTCGCTCCAATGAGCAGCATTTGAGGAGAAGGGACGGTTGGAGGAGGTCAAGGCTGCTTGGAAACCGAGCCTTTTTGGTCCCAGAATTTGTTTCCACATCGCCCTCCAAATGGTCTCCAAATGGTCTCCAAATGGTCTCCAAATGGTGAAATTCTTGTTATCCGAAGAAGCAGCATATGATAATGCTGACTTTGTTGGTAGCGATTTTGCTAAAGCATGCAACAAAGGATGTAAAACACAGGACATGCAAGACTATTTTGGAAGTTTTTCAGAGCCTTTCGGCTTTATACAGTAATCACTTATATTGTATGTATATATATATAAGTTGTATAAGTGCTTTGCACATTTCAATAGCATCTTTGATTCTTTGAGAGACCTGGACTTAGGTTCAGCTGAAGTCAGAAATCCAGGCTGGTCTCAAATATGCGGCGCATGGGCAACTTGGGTGAGGAAAAATACGCCGAATCCTAGTGACCAAAGCCCGTCGAGGAATGTTTCACAGAATTTTTGAACCATTTGAAACAATTCGAAATTTGAACCACTTGTAGGGCTGCTGCCAGAAAAAATGGTTATTCGAGATGGCACTGCAGCGAGTGCCATCCATGTAGGTTCAAGTTTTTCAGCGCCCAGCTGCATCACGCAAGGAAGAGGGTAGGGTGAACGCATGTCAACTGGAAACCAAAGCACTCCAAAGCTTGGAGAAAGCTTGATGCTGCATTTGGGATGTTGCTAATGTCACAGCCCGGTAGACAAGGACCGCGGATTGTATGCTTTGCCACTAAAAAGGGCTGGACCAGAGCGCAACGTTTGCAAAGCTGCATGGGTTTCTCGCTGAGTCGCTTTGTTCTTGCTGGGCCCCCCTTGGAATCTCTTCACTCGGGTGATCTATTTTGAGTCTGAATGTCGTCCTCAAGAACCTCCTTATTTTTTCTGGTTGACTCCCAAGGGTCTTTCTGTTTGCACAATGTTTGTTCACCTCTTGAGCTTGTCAGCGGGAATATCAGATAAATCATGTCGTGCTATGTGGTCTTCAAATTCCCCATTTGTTTCGAAGCCAAGATATGTGCAAGGTGTGCCAGGTTTGAGAAGCTGGTAGACAATCGCATCACAAACACAAGCACTACACATGACATTTGGCTGCCCTTAGGAGCGGCTCCGCGTCCTGATGCTGTACCATCTTTGTGCACTGCTGCTCCTGTGCCTGGAGCGAGTGGTTGGTTTCGTGAAGGCGTGCAACCAGTTCACAACCAGTTCCAGCATCAAAGGCATCAAAGGCATCAAAGGCATCAAAGCAGTTATTTGCACTGCCCCATTTGAGATGCGGCCGCAGGGATGCCAAGAGCTTGAGATGGAAAAGAAACTCACTAATCGGGAGGAAATATTGCGAGAGCCTTAGAGCCCTGTGTGCCATTGCCCCACGAAGTTGAATCCTTCGCACAAAAATGAAAGCCGCTGACCTTCCAAGGAAAATGGATTGCAATACATACCAGGTGCGATAGTATGATAAATCATGCCATCATTTCTTTTCATTTCAGAATTTTCTAGAGTTCAAGAAATTTTCGAGATATTTCAAGATATTTTTCAGCAGTCACAGCTCAACAGTGTGGAATGATCCAGTCGCCAGGCACGCCTCTGCCTAAAGTTTGTGCTGGACGCAGGCACGGTGTGTGAAGACTTTGAAGCGTCAAAAGATCTTGACCATGACCCTGAGATGTGCTAAGATGTGCGATGAGGCTTGATGAGCTACTTTGCATTTATCATTTGGAGCCTCATCGTACGCATTGAGGCAGGAATTGAAGATATGAAAACCCTTTAAAGCCTGTGAAGAAACCTATCAGAATCCAAGAAGAACGCTTTATGTGGAGTGCTCGAGTCATGTTGGAGTCCCTGCTCTGTAAGAAATTAGCTCAGGCAGGTGAACTCGGCGAGCCCTCGCTGTTGAGAGAGCAGGCAATGGTGGCAAGATTATGCAACATCAACCTTTTAAGATCTTTTAAAACTTCCACATGACCAGTTCTCTGGCCTCGCAAATTTGGTATTTGAATTGCACAGTATTATGATGAATAACAAGGATGATTGATGTAACATGTTCGATTTGCTTTGAAGTCGCAACGCTTTGGCGTTGGCTTGTCTGTTTGAACTGGGAGGAGCTTGCAGATAGGGCACTTGGAGACCCTTGGTGCTTTGCCTACAGCATGAGAGTTCAAATGTTAACACACACAATCAACACAATCAACACAATCAACACAATCAACACAATCAACACACTATCGTGAGCAGTCCTGTGATGGCACAGCAACTGGCGCATGATGTTGCAGATTGCGATCATATTGCAACTGTCGTCACAGTATACAATGATTAATAGATTAATAACTTTGTTTCAATGGCGAGTGAGACAGAGTGTGTAGCAGCCATGTTCACTTAATGTGGCGTGGAAACATTGGAAATGCATGCATAGAAAGTAATTGCCGATGATGCACGAAAGAGCTATCCGGCACACTCGAGGCTTTTTGTTCAGACACCTGGAGAATCAGCCACGTTTCTGAGACGTGCAGAAGTCTCAGCCTTGCCTTCCATCGCAGACTATGATCTGACAGACGCGATCGTGGCCATGTCTTGTGCGCCTAGGAGCCCAGAGGTCACGCTGGAAGCTAAGGCGAGAGGCGACAGGCGACAGGTGCCGACAGGTCCATGGCTTCTTTGGCTTCCGCCTGTGCTGTGACAGCTGAGGCCCCGACACCATTTTCAGGGGTGCCGCGAAATCTGGAAGATCAAGTATGCTGCCCAGATATGCCAAGTGATTGAGCTGACCATAGCCAGAGTGCTAGTGCTGGTTGGCTAGTTGGATGTTCAAATTCATCAGTGTTTGTCCTTTTTGCTATCAGGAAGCTCAAGCATCTCTCCAAGAAGAAGGGCAAGCGCATGACCGGCAAGGGCGTGGATCTGTAGAAGCATTTCAAGGAACTCCTTATCGTTTGGAGTGATGCAGAGGACTGAGATCAGTGAATCTGTTGGTGCAATTGGAATGCGCAGCGCAGAGAGCAATCATGAAACTTTCTGTACTGATTCTTCATGGTGGTATGGCCATGAATACCGGGCCAAGGTTGCTGCAACATGTCTCACTACGTGTGTGACGCATGGTGAGACCTGGGGGCCAATCTGCCAAAGATATGACAGGTGTGCTTACAATCCATTGTAAACTTGCGTCCCAAGGCCTACTTTCTGCATGATTGCAATGCTTGGCCGTCAAGCGGGCGAATAAGTCGTGAATAAAAACCTCTGTCAAACAGCAGAGGCTTAGTTTCACCTGGTTCCGCGGCGAAAACTTGTGATCCGTCATGTACAGGGTGTTTAGGCTGCATGTGAAATTGGCAGGCATCATACAGTCCGTGCTTTGCATCAGAGTTACTTGAACATGTCCATCCATGTTACTGGCAGCTTTTCTTGGATACCTCGGATACCTATGGATACCTCAGCTTTTGATATTCAGGACATCAGGAGAGACAATTCAATAACACCCAAATAGAATCAGCGATGTCGTGAATAACGAGATGTTTAGAGTGACTCGCTGCAACATTCAAAACAACTATATATATATAATCTATATACAGTATCTAGAATACCTGTACAAATTGATTGCTATAGCTTTAGCTGTACTGGTCGCAAAAGTATGGACTGCATGCACCCAGGTGGCAATCTCAAGTCTTGAAAACAAATATCTGCGCATATCAAAACTGTATATATCCATATCAGACTGAGCGGAGACCAGCTATGCAACCGCAAGAATAATGGCCGAAGTCCGAGTCCTCAGTTCGTTTGGTCAGTTTCTCTGAACATTTGGATTGACTGTTGCACGACGTTGCACATGCAGCGCTTTTGGTTTGCTTTAAGGCGATTTTCAAAGGAGCTCCTGTCATCATCAAGGGCCTCCAGAAGGAAGAGTGCGCTTAGGACCTGAGGTGCTTTATTGCTTTGATTGCACGATTTGCATCCATTTGCCAGGTACACCCACTTCAATGGCCAGAAAGGGGTTGTCACTGATGGTCCATCAGAGACCGGCCGCTACGAGGTTTGGTACCACAAGGGTCAAGTGATGAATTCGCCGTAGTATTGCAGTAGGAACAGTTACAATATGGATGCAGAACAGGAAACAGCAAAGATGGCCAAGATGGCAGAGATGTAAGAGAAATGTTTCCTTTTCCAGAGACGTTTGACTTTACGCCAGCATGTTTGACTATGTTTGACTTATATAACCCGCGCACCCAGTAGATTAGCGTGCGCCAGGTGAGACTGCAGGGCGCAGGCTACAAGGAAGACAAGGCTCTTGCTACGAAAAACATAATTCAAAAAGCAATCAAGTTCGAAAACACCCAATCTAGAAATATCTAGAACACAAGCCACATGAATATTTCTCCAGTTGTGGGAGTACCTTTTGGTGCCAGAACTCTTGCAGGTCCTGGCATTGAAGCCGTCCAACTTCCAACTGGATTTGGATGCTCTCCAGGTCGACAAGCTGATAGCTGTCTCGCAAGGGGCCACGCCTCCACAATCTCCACGTGCAAAGTTTCCACGAAAGCTCAAAGTTCAAAAAGTTCAAAAAGTTCAAAAAGTTCAAAAAGTTCAAAAAGTTCAAACCGATCGCCGGAGGAATACGTTCTGAAGAAAAGAGTGGAAAAAGCTCAACGAGATCCACCTCTTGAGGATAGGGAAGCGCTACAGAAGGGGCCAGCAGCGGGTATGAAATTCGGGCACAATGCACTCCAGATGATACCTCAAAGCATTGCTACCCAGGACCTTTCTGTGCTATGGACCAAGGGCAAAGGCTTGTCTGCGAAAAGCCTTACTTGGAAGAGGCAGAAAGTTGGATTCTTAGTCAGTCCTAGTCATCCAGGAGTTCCTAGACATTGCAGGATTGTGCAGCAGAGATTTAGAGGACAGGATTCTACCACAGAAGGCAACGGGCTCAAGCAGTCGTTCTTTCGCAGGCATGTTTTGCCATACGTTTTTCTCAAGCACACAGTACACTTGCCACAGAAGGGCTGCAGACCATCGCTTTAGCTGCTGTTTCCAAGAATAAAAGTCTCTCCAAGAACTAAGGATAAGCAAGACAGTCGCATTCAGAATGAAACTGCATGATTTCAGGCTGATAGAACATGAATAAACCGTGTTGAAACGTGAACGCCTTTCATTTCTTCAGACCCGTAGCTTTCCAAATGGGAATGCGCGAGCTAAGCCTGCGCATTTTGCTTTGCCGGCTGTGCCCCAGCCCGTTCATTTGGTTCTGTGTGGCATCCTGGCTTGCCTCTGTGGCTTCTGCATCCGCAGCTGCTGATACGGAAGTTCTACGATTGCGAGCCTCCAGATCTGCAAGTTCCATTGGAAGCTTCTCTTCCGCGTCGCCACGGCGCCAAACCGCAATTTACCGCTTTGGAAGCTCTGCTCTGCTTCCAAAGGGTGTAGATGGGCCGGAGATTGCCAGTATTGATGCACGGGAGAACCAGCAAGCTGAAGATGAAGCTGTAGATGCTGTAGATACAGTTGAGAAAAGCTTGCCGGCAGGCACAATGATTCTACTTGGCCTTGCCAGTTTGATCTTCCCCATGATTGTTTACATTTGCCCCAGATTGCGAAAGTCAGATACAATTCCACTCCATCAAGGGTATGCAGCTGTTCCACGATCAGAGGTCATTGGACATGGTGCTGATTTTCCGCATGGCGCCCCGCTCACAAACAGCACCATCCATCTGCCACCTGCAGAGTCTGCACAGGGGACACAATTCTTTTACATTGGTGAAGAGAATGCGACTGATGCTACTGAGAATGCAGATGCTGATGAGCCCCAGGCCATGGTTGGCTACACTTCAGCGCTAGAAGCTCCGCCCACAGAATCAGAACCAGAAGCAGAGCTGTGCCCAGAATCAAACGTACCTTCTCCGTCTCACACGGCTCAGGTCAATCAGATCACAGTGCCTGCGGCTGTGACACTTCCAAAACTTGCTCAACCCATCCCACAGTCATCTCACAGTGTTCACAGTTCTGTGCTCCCAGAAGCATTTCAGCCAGAAGATGCAAAAGGCTCCACACGCTCCCGAATGCTGATGCTCTATGCTTCTCCACTTTGTCGGACTGACGCTCGAGGACCTGCGCCACTGCCAGCTCTATGCTTTGAGAAGGAGTGGAAAACTGTCCTCAAAGCTTCAGCAGAAGCCCACTGCGGCCCAACAGCATTTGCAGCACGAGCCCTTACATCAGGAGTGCCGGTGACAGCTGTCTGTTTTCAGTCTGGTGCGCTTTCTTGCGCTGAGTGTGCACGTTTGCCAGCCTACCTTTGGACTGCAACTCTGCTCATTCTACTAATTCATAGCTCTAGAACTTGATATATACAGTCAAGAGTTCCCCACTCTGCAAACTACACGTACATAATCGATCATAATCATACATATCTAAATGGATTGGCTTAGGGAACATAGGGAACTCATACTGACCATCAAGCAGTGCTCCGTGCAAAGTACTGATGCAGGTGAAAGGCGGGACTGTTGGAAATGGCAGAAAATCTTGAAGCAATTTGGGGAATCGACCCTTTTGTGCCAGGAAGCCTTCAACGAGCTTTGTCTCCTGGTACCTCGGTGGGAAGCACAATCCTTCACCTCTCAGCTCATGGAACACCTCAAGGCCTTGTGCTGGAGGATGGGAAGGGAAGTGCGCACCTCTTGAAGTTTGAACTTCTGCAAGAAATGCTGGCTTTGAGAGAAAGCGGCCAGTCACCATGTGAGTTGGTGGTGGTAAATGCGTGCCACTCCAGCGCTGTTGGCCAATTCTTGGCAGAATCCGGAATACCACACGTGGTTTGTTGCAATGACCGGGTCCTCGACTCGTGGGCGGAGCCCTTCATTAAAACTTTCTACACGACACTTTTTGGTGGCAGTACCGTTGCGGCAGCTTTCAGCACAGCTTCTCTTCAGTTGCAATGCCAACCTGGAATCCCACGTGAGGCCAGGGGGAATCACGTGAACACCTTGGACCATGCAGCTGTCGCTCCTTTGCCCATCTTTGCCCCATTCTGGTGTAATCTACAATTACTGGAGCTCACCTCTAAAATAGATAAATATGCACCGCACAGCGCATGCCTTGTCCCCGACAGAGACATGACAAGAGCTTGAGTAGAGGATGTGTGATACATGAATGCCTCCAGAAGAGTATGTGTGCAGGCGGCTCAGTGCTTTTGCCTCCTGCCAGAGGGTGCTGCTAGAAGCCTAGCATGATGCCGGTCTGGGCAAACATTGACATGCAAAGAAAAGATAGGCCCAGATAGGTGAAGGAGGATTGCCGCGTTAGGCACATGATGGTGTGATCTTCCCACGCAAGCCATCCTGGCATGTTGATTTGCGAGCCAAACAGTGGAACGACTCGTCTGTGCAGTGGGATGGGTCTAGCCAGGATGGGTCTTCGGAAACCTCTGAGGACTGCTTCTCACTAGCTGAAAGCCAGAAAGGCAATGACATCTTAATGATTCATGATATTCCAATACATTTGGTAATTGAATGGTATATTTGAGCCTTTTAGCTATTCACCAGCCTATTGAAATGTGGCAGGATCTCCAGCCTGCCATTTGAACAAACTCTGTTTGCTCCCAAGATATCCAAAGAATGTGCAAGTTTGGTCCGTGGTTTTGGTGGTGAACAGACAACGAAGATAAACGCAGATACCTCAGGCCTGAGCTGCCGGAAGATTTCATTGGACGGACTTTGGATGTTTGGTTTGAGACTTAGAGATTCCATGATTTGCATCTCTGTACACACAGTTGGTATCATGGAGACATCTTCCCAACAGACTTTCAGGACTAATTCCTGTTCCCCTTTTGTGCTCAAAGCATGTATCATCTGCTTATTGTATCTTCTGGATTCTTTTGGTTGGGAGCTTTGCACAGCTTTGCAACATTCTTCCAGCAAGGTCGATCGTCCAGCATCTGAGTGTTCGACGTCTTGTTGCGGTTTGCAGCCCTGGCCTTTTCCTCTCCATGGAGTATCTGTGCCATGCTTGAAACGTGTGGACGATGCAAAGCTGCTAACCATGCCAGGCAATCAAAATGCTCAATCTCCCATCGCTGGCCTCGGAAAGTCAGCCCTTTTGGATGCCGCTGCATTCTCAGACTCAGAAAGTTTGAGAAGAATGTCGGATCGCACAGGTCAAACAAAGGGTTTCAGACGTGTAGCATCACATCAATTCTTCTCTCACGTCAACGATGTTGTCGACCATGAAATGGTGGGAAGAGTCGGTGTCTTGTTTTGAGTAAGGCTCTTGCCCCCAGTAGCACTGAACAAGATGATACAAGATGATACAAGATGATACAAGATGATACAAGATGCAGGGACCCTGGACCCTTTGGTTTCACTGCATATTATGCGACTTTTCCAGGTGCACCGCACAGCTGCGCTGCACATGCAGATGCGCTGTGTTGGGGTTCGTGTCGGAACAGACGTCCAGGCCCTGCAAGCCACGTCAGCCACAGAGTCCGACTTGAACCAATGTAAAAGACATTTGTCCAACCATCTTTGCAAAACATGTCTTCCAGGAATTGAAGATGTTGAGCATGTCAGGGGTTGGTGGAACAAGCATGATGGGCAGGACTGCACATCATGGCTCTTGGCCCTGAGATCAGCAGACTCTCGGACATTAAAACATGTGGTGTCACGTTGTTACTTGATGGTTTCGTATGGCTTTGGCCGCAAGTTCCTGGATTCATAAAGCACAATGGCCCTGAAAGGTCCAGCTTGCACTGGCGGAAGAGGACATTCCCTGCAATGCAATGAATCATGGTCTCCATATTATCTCCACATTGTCTTCCTCATGGTCTCCATATTGTCTTCGTGAACCCAGTCCGGAATCACCTGCGGGAGGAGTGGCTTGGCTCAAGTGCGCGAAAGGGCTGTTTCCAGCCTCGGTGTGCAGCCCAAACTGAATCAGACTGACTGGTCAACTATGGTAATACTATGTAATACTATATGGTTATATAATTGACGTGAATTGATGTTAATTGCGCCTCTCTGATTAAGGCCAAGTGGCTCAGCACGTCGAAAATGCCTTCCTCGAAGGCTCAGCTGTTGATTCTTGGAGTTGTCACACTGGGCCTCCATGATCTGTATTGATCAAATTTCTTCCAATGCTTGCCTAACGGGCCTAACTGCCAGGCAGTTGCGCAAGACTCTTCAAGAACTACCTTCAGAGGAGGAGCTTTGGCTCTCTGCCATGCTGCGGATAAATATATATAGGATAACACAGGCTCATATGAATCATATGAGTCAGGCTCACATGTCATGTACGGTGTGAGATGTATTGTACTAGTAACATGGATTCTGAACGTCACGCGCAAGACAATCATGTTTCCGTTTCAGGAATTGCTGGACTCCTTGTGCCATGATATTGGCCTTCTGGCCTTGCAGTGGCATAGGCATGGCGGGATGCGTCAGATTTCTCCCAGCTTTGAGTGCACTGCCGGCTGGCAGGCGAACTACTGCTGCAGCACTTGCACCTAGCACTGTGAGCAGAGGACGGAGACAAACTTGCAAAGTAGTCAAAGTACACGAAAAAACGTCAGCTGAGTTTCCGTTTTCTTGGAATGCTTTGGATGTGCGGTACCTTCTTGGCTTGTAACTCTTGCTTAACAATTTGAGATATCCTATAAGCCTCAGGAGATGCTATGCTGCCTGTGGTCTCTGCCCGAAACAGTCACCTTCTTAAAGTTTTTGCACCGGGAATTCTGATGTTTCTGGATGCTTCTGGATGCTTCTCATTGGAAACCTCTTGTGCTTTCTGCTTTTCTTAGGTGGCTGTGACGTGCTTCTGATGGTTCATGGATGCGATCAGTTGTTGGAGAGGCTTGAATGACTCATTCCGCAGGAGCTGATGTGAAATATTGAGAAACCATGCTACGGGTCCAAGTTTTATTTTCATGGATGCCACAAAAAAGAACTCTTTGCGAGAAAGAACGCCTTGAAGAAGGTCCAGCCTTGCATAAACCATGTTGAGCGGCAAATGCCTTCTGATCAAACTAGGATTAGTCTACCTGCAAGTCTCGGCGACCAATTAGCATCCCAGATTTGGCCATGCACTTCCTCTCAATCGGACTGAGTAGTATCGTCTCTGGTGAGTTTGACTGACCGGTGGATACCATTTGCTCCGGGAAAGGTAGGTATTGATGCAGGCCATAGTAGTATCCTTTATCCTTTGTACCCACTGCATCCCACTGCCTAACTTCTGTGCGCCTCTCCCTCAGGCAGCCAGTTGAAATGCAAAATGCAATCTCTGCTCTACTTCGTCATTGTCCCGTACGTCTTGTCTTGAGCTCCAGGCTGGAGACCGAAACAAACTCCGTCCAAAAACGACACCCCAAATAGCATCGAACAAGGACTACATAATGTACCGTGCTTATCCGTGCTTGCTATCGTACTCATCGTGGAAATCAGAACGCAGAAACGCAGAATAACAAGTGACAAAAGTGACAAAAGTGACATCGCATGGCCTTTCAGGTCCAGAATGGGTCCTGGCTGTGGCCAATTCAAGGCGAGCTGAGCGCCAAGCGATTCTTTCGGATTCAGCCACAGCTGGCAGGTGGTTCAATACGAGCTTGCCGGCTTGCAGCCAACTGCTACTTGACATTTGTGGTGAGGTAGTGATCATAGAAGATCAATGGTTATAATTTTAGGATAGTCAAAGAGATTTAGTATCCCAAAAAACACAAAGTTGCTACTCTGCCTGGAAGAAACGACCAGGATGCAGCTCGTTTGTTCCTTCGCCGGGCTCAGCGGCCTCTACGATGGAAGGAGGCCAAGGGCAGAGATGGAGACGGCAGCGATGTAAATGCAGCTGAGACTTGATATATCGTCAATCTCTTCATGTCTTATTGATGTCTTATTGATGTCTTATTGATGTCTTATTGATGTCTTATTGATGTCTTATTGATGTCTTACAGTTACTTTGATTCATGCCTTATTTGTGTCTTATTGATATAATATATAATAATAGTAATAATAATAATAATAGTATTAATAGTAATAATAGTAATAATTATTCATGCATTGAGTTTGGCAGGCTTGGGTGTGCATGTGTCATCTTTAAGTGAGTCAATGAATGCTTTCATTTTGGCTCAAGTGGAGCTGAGCCAAAATAGCATTCATTGCTGTTTCTTTCCTGGCCCTGGTAAGGGGTGACCTTCCTAGACCTTGATTGAGCGGCTCACCACATCAATAACCAGGGGTGACCTGGTTGGTTACAAGCATCGTAAGGGGTGACCTGGTAGTTGCAAGGGGAGACCGTGCATGCAGCGTAAGCTTCGTGGGAGCGATATCCCGGCGGCCACCGAGGCGTCGCTCCTCCATGCTGCTGCGTTCCTGGAGTTCAAGCAGCACGTGGCGAAGCGATGCATTCTTGCTGCAGCAGTTCTTGGAAGACGCCAGAAACGGTTTTTGTACACCTCCTCTGCGGCGAGCAGAGTTCCTCAGGGACATTGGCGGCCGGGCACATCGTCTTATCCTGCGCTGTGTGACCACCCAAAGTTCGGGGAAACAACGAGTCATCGACAACGGTGACACCGGAGGGCAATCAGACCTTTCTTCCGATGCCAACATGCTTACACTATGTAGTCGCCCATAAGCCTGGTTATGCGTCGTTGGTCTGAGGACGAGGTCGCCGAGTTTTGTCACCATGATGCCTGGGAGACAGGCTAAGAGGACCTGCCGTCTGCCTACAGGTACTGCCCCATGCCAGCAGGAGAGCTTAGGCTGCGTTGTCGTCTGGTTTCACTGATGAGTGGCAAACTCCGGTATCCCAGGTCTATGCAGGCCTCTTGTTTAGGCTCCCCCTGGCAATCACTTCGTTCAGCTGATTTTCCCAGACTGTTGGAAGCGCTGACTCGCTGGTATTGCCAAGTTTTGACATCCCTGTACTTTAATGCCGCGATCACTGATGTCCGCTCTGCCAAGGGCTCCGGGCAATGGGCGATGAAACAACTATGCCTGATGATCGGATCTTTATTTGCGGAAGACAAAACGCAGACCATGCAGAGCACTGGCGCTTCTTTGGGACTTACCCATGACCTGAGTTGCATCAATAAGACAGGTCATCTTCGTTTTTGGGCCCGCACCAGACTCCATGGCAAAGTTCGTGATGTCTTGCCACAGCACGTCAAGCAGGCCACTTTACTCGAGGCACAGCTTCCAAACTTTATAGACTTGCAATCTTCTTGGAGCAAGGTATTTCTGGGCGAGTCGGGTATGGCGGTCTCATGGCCATCAAGGCACGCAACTGGAGCTCTCTATGGTGTTGTGCGCCTTGATCGAGCGCCCCGACCTTTTCCGACATCGACATGGTCTCTGGTTCCTCGACAACGTTGCCGCAGTCATGACCTTGGTGAGAGGGCGCTCTAGCAATTCGGGGTTAGCAAAGCTCGGCCATTTGATCCATTTGGCTCTGTTTGCACTGCGTGCCCAGCACTTGAGGGTTCCCAACACTTGCCATGCATATGAATTGACTTTTTAAGCGAGTTTCAGTTTCCAAGTAGGGGTGATCCTACTTCTGGAAGCCTGGATATTTGCGATTTCAGCAGCGCTGGCTGCTGCTGGTTTTGACTTCCCCAAGCAAGCTGGGTGTCGGCAGTGGGCACAGAAATGTGGGCGTTTGCTGTTTTAAGCAGGTTGGGTTTCCAGCAGGAGGTGATCCTGCTTGGTGTGGCCGTACTTGCTTTCGTGACATATATTGGGGTCCAAGCGGGGGTGATCCTCCTTGATGGCGCCCAACACTTGCCATGAGTATTGCTTGGACCACAGGGGGAGTGACCACACGGCTGTGGGCCTCTGCGTTCTCAAGTAGGTTGGGTTTCAAGCAGGAGGTAACCCTACTTGGTATGGCCGTATTGCTTTAGGGGCATAGGGTTTGGGTCCAAGTGGGGGTGGTCCTACTTGAGGGTGCCCAACACCTGCCATGAATATGGCTTGAAGTTTTAAGAACAATTTCAGTTCCAAGTAGGGGTGATCCTGCTTCTGGGCAACTTGGTTTCTGGCCATTTCAGCAGCTGGAGGCTGTTGGTTACTTTGACTGCCCCAAGCAAGCTGGGTTTCCAAGTAGAGGTAACGCTACTTGAGGATCACAGGTTGCCCACTGGCACTGCCAGGGAGTGAACACAGGGCTGTGGGCCTCCGCTGTCTTAAGCAGGTTGGGTTTCAAGCAGGAGGTAATCCTATTTGGTGTGGCCGCACTTGCTTTCGTGACATAGTTTTGGGGTCCAAGTGGGGGCGATCCTACGTTTTGGTGCCCAGCACTTGCCATGAATCTGGCTCGAATTTTTAAGCGAATTTCAGCTACCAAGTAGGGGTGATCCTACTTCTGGGCACTTGTTTTTTTTTTTGCAAATTCAGCAGAACTGGAGGTTGTTGGGTCTGACTTCCCTCCAGGAGGCTGGGTTTCCAAGTAGAGGTGACGCTACTTGCAGGCCACAGGTTGCCCATCGACACTGCAAGGCAGTGACCAGAGGGTTGTGGGCCTCTGCTGTCTTAAGCAGGTTGGGTTCCAAGCAGGAGGTAATCCTACTTGGTGTGGCCTTACTTGCTCTAGCAACATAGGTCCGGCGTCCAAGTGGGGATTATCCCACTTGAGGGTGCCCAGCAGTTGCCATGAGTATGGCTTGAAATTTAAGCAAATTTCAGTTTCCAAATAGGGGTGATCCTACTTCTGGAAACTGGATTTTTGCAATTTCAGCAGAGCTGGGGGCTGTTGGTTTTGACTTCCCCAAGCAAGCTGGGTGGCGGCAGTGAGCACAGAGATGTGGGCCTCTGCTGTCTTAAGCAGGTTGGGTTTCAAGCAGGAAGTAATCCTGCTTGGCGTGACCTTATTGCTTTAGTGACATATGTTTTGGGCCCAAGTGGGGGTGATCCTACTCGTTGGTGCCCAACACCTGCCATGAACGTGGCGTCAGTTTTTAAGCGAATTTTGGTTTTCAAGTAGGGGTGATCCTACTGGTGGAAACTTGGAGGTTTTCGTTTTCAGCAGAGCTGGAGGCTGTTGGTTTTGACTGCCCTAAGCAAGCTGGGTGTCGGCAGTGCGCACAAAAATGTGGGCGCTTGCTGTTTTAAGCAGGTTGGGTTTCCAGCAGGTGGTGATCCTGCTTGGTGTGGCCGTACTTGTTTTAGTGACAATTGTTTTGGGTCCAAGTGGGGGTGATCCTACTCGTTGGTGCCCAACACTTGCCATGAACGTGGCGTCAGTATTTAAGCGAATTTTGGTTTCCAAGTAGGGGTGACCCTACTTGTGGAGACTTGGAGGTTTTCGTTTTCAGCAGAGCTGGAGGCTGTTGGTTTTGATTGCCCCAAGCAAGCTGAGTGTCGGCAGTGCGCACAGAAATGTGGGCGCTTGCTGTCTTAAGCAGGTTGGGTTTCAAGCAGGAGGTAACCCTACTTGGTGTGGCCTTATTGCTGTAATGGCATAGGTTTTGGGTCCAAGTTGGGGGTGGTCCTACTTGAGAGTGCCCAACACCTGCCATGAACATGGCTTGAAATTTTAAGGAAATTTCAGCTTCCAAGTAGGGGTGATCCTACTTCTGGGCAACTTGCTTTTTTTTTGGGGGCATTTTCAGCAGAGCTGGAGGCTGTTGGTTTTAACTGCCCCAAGCAAGCTGGGCTTCCAAGTAGAGGTAACGCTACTTGGGGATCACAGGTTGCCCACTGGCACTGCCAGGGAGTGACCACAGGGCTGTGGGCCTCCGCTGTCTTAAGCAGGTTGGGTTTCAAGCAGGAGGTAATCCTACTTGGTGTGGCCGCACTTGCTTTTGTGACATAGTTTTGGGGTCCAAGCGGGGGCGATCCTACGTTTTGGTGCCCAGCACTTGCCATGAATCTGGCTCGAATTTTTAAGCGAATTTCAGCTACCAAGTAGGGGTGATCCTACTTCTGGGCACTTGTTTTTTTTGGCAAATTCAGCAGAATTGGAGGTTGTTGGGTCTGACTTCCCTCCAGGAGGCTGGGTTTCCAAGTAGAGGTGACGCTACTTGAAGGCCACAGGTTGCCGATCGACACTGCCAGGCAGTGACCAGAGGGTTGTGGGCCTCTGCTGTCTTAAGCAGGTTGGGTTCCACGCAGGAGGTAACCCTACTTCGTGTGGCCTTATTGCTTTAGTGGCATAGGTTTTGGGTCCAAGTTGGGGGTGGTCCTACTTGAGAGTGCCCAACACCTGCCATGAACATGGCTTGAAATTTTAAGGAAATTTCAGCTTCCAAGTAGGGGTGATCCTACTTCTGGGCAACTTGCTTTCTTTTTTTTTTGCATTTTCAGCAGAGCTGGAGGCTGTTGGTTTTAACTGCCCCAAGCAAGCTGGGCTTCCAAGTAGAGGTAACGCTACTTGGGGATCACAGGTTGCCCACTGGCACTGCCAGGGAGTGACCACAGGGCTGTGGGCCTCCGCTGTCTTAAGCAGGTTGGGTTTCAAGCTTGGTGTGGCCGCACTTGCTTTCGTGACATAGTTTTGGGGTCCAAGTGGGGGCGATCCTACGTTTTGGTGCCCAGCACTTGCCATGAATCTGGCTCGAATTTTTAAGCGAATTTCAGCTACCAAGTAGGGGTGATCCTACTTCTGGGCACTTGTTTTTTTTTGCAAATTGGGTCTGACTTTCCTCCAGGAGGCTGGGTTTCCAAGTAGAGGTGACGCTACTTGAAGGCCACAGGTTGCCGATCGACACTGCCAGGCAGTGACCAGAGGGTTGTGGGCCTCTGCTGTCTTAAGCAGGTTGGGTTCCACGCAGGAGGTAACCCTACTTGGTGTGGCCTTATTGCTTTAGTGGC